GAGAGATTTTTATTTTATTGGTAACGAAAATATATTCTAAATAAACGAAGTTTCAAATAAAAACGAACACAAAAATCTCGGCATGCTGCGTTTCTGAATTGTTGATTATTACTGTACTCAGTAGTGATTATAATAATGTACACAAAATAAATTTGTTGAATGGTTATGAAATACAAATAAAAGTCAACTTAGTTTCATCGTAAGCGAATGATTCCGTTTGATGCTGTAGGATATCCGCCATGTTCTCTTAGGTCAAATAGGTCAAATCGCTAATTAACCAATCAAAAAGCTGGATGATGCCAACGTGTTCAAATTACCATAGCTTATTTAAATATGTTAATGTTATTGAACGCAATGCGGAAGAGATTGATATTGTAGTACGATATTTTGGCTTGGATCATGATTTTTTTTAAATAAAAAAATTAGTTGTTTTTAAAAAATAAACTGGTCATCTGAAGAATAATTTAACATTGTTCACAGTGATAACAGCTCATTCTCGAAAGGAAGCTTACCCGCTCACGCTAGTCACGATAAAAATCATACACGTGTACTCTTGAATAGACAAACGTCAATGACTACGGTAAAACTTAGACTCTATTTTAGCCGGCAGGATTGATTGAAATGTCCGAAAAATGACGCCAAAATACACCTTAAAAGTCCCATTTTATTTTCTTAAATCCCATTTTATTTTTTAATCCAAGGGCGAATTTACGGCAGAATTTGGTCCCTCAAATAAGGGACACGTGAGCTTTGATTCTAACCGGATACATTGCACTGGGTCGGGGAGATCGTTTGCTAAACTTCCATGCATCTTTTGTCCAATGGGTACCTGTACTTCGAACATTCGCAAGTTTTTCTAGGTAGTGCGAGACAGCTTTGTCTTTTGACCTATTAGTTTTGTGCTGACCTCTTCTCCGCGTCTTGATGTTTTGTTTTGCTTGTCATAATATTCACTGATTGATGACTTTGTTTAGATTTTGAGTTACAACTCGGCCACGACCTTTGCTTTTACCGTGAAACATGAGGAAGTTTACGTCAATTGACGGACATTGCATTTTTTAAAAACTAATGAAGCACACTGTCTATCATCCCCATTTTTTCATTTGCTGATTTCTATTCTGAAAAATTCGACCGTCCGAAAATGCACCTTAATTTTGACTATAAAAACACGTCACATATCGAACACCAATTATTTAAAACCGGTCGAAATTTTGGAGTTTTTACGGTACTTTAGATATCAGTGTGAAAGCTTAAAATTGG